ACTGGTGTCGGCTACACACATAACGCGCAATCTCACGCGCAACTCATAAATCGCTGCGAATCGATGTGAGACTTCGAGCCTATGTTCGAGTCAGGGTATAGCATGGGGATGTGCGAAATGGCGGTGTGAGTACGACCTCCCCCCTCGAAGAGGGTCCACTTACGACCCCCCTCTTGCTCTAACTGACAACCAGATGCATGTTCACCACAAATGGCTTCCTGAAATGGAATCTGGATTTTCGAAAGGCGGACTCTGCAATAATAGGCTGTTTCAGCCTTATGCAATATGCAACCGCCCTACCTTTTCTCTTTTTTCCAATAACACTTTGCAGTTTTTCTGAAAGACGCCACTAGTTCAGGGAGATATTTTAGATGGGTCAGCCAGACAGGCCTACCCGCTCTGACTGCCGCCGCCACTCGAAAATCGACTCCTTCTGTGCCATTTTAAGGGTACACCTGCGAAAACTTCAGTGTGCCTCCGAAACACATATTTCCCTTCGAATGAATGAAAGAGCAGTTCGGCTATCAGTGATGGATTTCCAGGTGCTTTTATCCATGCAAGATGTTTGTTTAGGGTTTGGAAAGGAAAATACGCATGAATCTGTTTGAGACGTATTATTTAATCATCTACGTACTCACGAGTTCATGCTATTAATTGATACCAGTCGGATCGGCCGGCTTCGCCCGCGCCGATGACCTCCTCTTCCGCGTGTGAAGTGGGTCCTTGGAATGTTTTTCATAAGGAGGAGGGCCAGTCGGATCGGCCAGCTTCGCCGGGCGAATGGTCGAAAAAATATTGTTTTGAGAATTCACAGCACTTTACCGTTTCACTTCTTGTATATACCCCCTCTCCCCCCCCGCCCCGCCCGCCAGCCTCAGTTGCTTTGCAAGTTTTGAGAATGCTATCCTCCGAACCCGTTTCGCTCGTACTTGCTTGTGCACCCTGAAAATTGGCTCATCCCATATCAATCCCGATTAGGATCCGTCCTACAGAAGCAGTTCAACGTAGTCTTCAGCGTACAGGCAGACGCAGTCAGACACGCAAACAACTTACTGGTTCATGTACATAAGATTTATTTATTCATTATTCTTGGCATTCTGCTAATCTTGCCAACCAATTTCTTTTTTGTAGTCCTCCTTACATCCGGGTGTTCTGCATCTTTCGGTCCGTTTCATCAAACTAGCAATGACACTTTTGGACTGTTTGATGCCTAGCGAGCCTACTTTTGCGATATTCCCACGTCCCCCGCGGCCAAGTACGAACCCCATTTTGGGGATTTCCGCATGAAAAGAGGGCTGTTAAACGTAGCAGTTAAATCTGTAAAGAATCAACTCATAATAAATTTCATTTTTTTTCATAATCTTGACTTCACAGTTCCATTCCCACTGTAAACTGACATGTCGAAGCATTGCCCGGCTCTGAGCGACCCCTGAGATTAAAGGACCCCCCCCATGGATTGCAAACGACTACCCTGGTTCGTGTTTATGAGTTGCGCGTGAGATTGCGCGTTGTGTGCAGCCGATGGCGGTAGCATATTTTATTTTACGTCGCAGTACCCTCCGAGGAATAGATGCGATCGCCAGGTTTCTCTTACTCACTAGCTCATATTCGGGACCATGGAAGCGGCTCTTTCGTGTGTCTTAGGCTCGTTAGGTTTTATTACATGTGTTGCCGCATACGACTGGTTTTTATGTGATTGCTATTATTTAATTTTTTCTGTTAGGTTCTATTCTAGTTGTTATTTTTATTTCTAGATGTCAGTTAAGAAGCTTTTCGTTTGTTTTATTACCTGTCCTGTTAAGCGTCATTGACGCGACTGCCATAGACCAATAAACAATAAAACAATCCTTCCTTATTCTTTTTTTTAAAGAAAAAATCTTTTTCTCTTTCTTCGAAAACGAGAGCTGCAGAGAAAAGAGAATAATTTGGTTAATCCCTTTCAGGAATATTTGCTGTGGCTGCCAGGGCTCATTGATTACGTAGGGCAGTCTCTCCTTTAAAGGCCCAGTGAAGTAGCGAAATCGAAATTCCATTTCATTTTTTCGGGTTCTTCTTATTGCTTCAGTTAGGCGTTGGAGGAACGCGGTTAGATTCCGCACCCGACTGTTACCACGCGCGCGCATATTTGAATTCAAACTGTAGTTTGAACTATCTCCCCCGCGCGCGCAAATTTAAACACAAACAGCACTTGCTGAAGATTTTCGCTTACTTAGCAGTAAGAACTTATTCATGAAAGCTGATTCTTCACCTTCTCCTGTTATTCGCTATTCTGCTACCCCTTTGCGTCCGCCGAATCACCAGAACTGTGGTGAATGCCGTATCCTGCCCTTCTAACAAGTGTGTTCTTCCATCGGATCTGCTATTTATTAAGTCGCTTTTTGCTGTGTAATTCTTCACTGTTCTGCTACTCTCCCCTCCACGCTACGAAATCTAACAGGTAAGGCGTGATCATTACTACTGGCTGATTTTGAGATTGTTTCTCTTTTATTGAGCATGCGAAGCTTTCTTTAGTCATTTTTCCTCAGTGTTTCTCTTTTGCATGCGAAGCTTTCTTTAGTCATTTTTCCTCAGCATTCTTTTTTCGATTGAATAGTATATTCATTCATTTAGCATCAGGGATGCATTTATATTCTGTAAAACTTATTTCTTTTTCAAATTTCGTCTAAGTTAACGTCACTGTGTCCGTCTTCTGCTGCTCGGAGGACCCATATAGTCAGGTTTCTTTCGAGCTTTCCATGGGTTGTCGCGAGGAACTGCTATGCGAACCCCTTGTGAAGTCTCGAGATAGCCTGAAAAGGTGCCTAAGGCCTCGGAATATCTGTCCTCCGCTGAGCCTCCCTGGACTTTCGCTTTCCTTTCTACTTTCCTTCTTCTTTCTTCTTTTCCACTACCGGACCCTTCCATTATTCCTCCATCATCAGACTTCAATCTGCTTATTTCCTCCTGCCCATTATTCGATCAGAAGGATGGCAGAAAATACCTTCGTAGGTGATGAGAGCACTCTTCGGTAATCTTTCACACTACGCCAGATTCAGCATTCAATCCCCTCTCTACTTGATCTACTTAGGGCGCTGGGCTAAATACGACGCAATCAATAGTGGCTCGCTCCTACTAGTGAATTCGAAAATACACCTATTGTAAGACTCTTGGGAAGGAGCTCGGAAAAGGATCGACCAATTTTTTTTTGTGCTGGTGCGGAATTTCACATCATTGAAGCCCTAGTTTTGTGCAGCGACCGCGTTTATTACCCCTCTCTCGCCCCCATCTCTAAGGCAGCGTTCAGACTTCGCGACGGCAGCGCTTCGGTCGCGCGTTCGACGCGATCGATGCAGTTGAAAGCATGCGCATCGATCGCGCCGACGCGTGACCGAGGCGCTGCCATCGAACGCAGCCTAACTGACTTGCCTCGTGGACGCTATTGATAACGTGCTGGGTGGGTGATTTGTATTTTGTGCCTATTTCTCACTTATCGTGCTGCAGTCGAAATCGTGTTTCATACATATGTGAGAAAGCAAGAAGAAAACATGTTTTTTCAGTTGTACCCAGGAGAAGACGGGTGTGAATAATGCATGCGTGGATGTTTGATCGTGGATCAATTGGTGGCAGTCGAAACATGAAGGTGGTTGATCATTCTCTTTCACAAACAGATCTGAAGGTCAGTGCTGCGATCTCATTCATTTCCGCTATCAATCAATAACTATAGAATTCGAAGGGGGACGCGCACTAGCCGTTCAGCGTTTATTTTTGTTCGAAATTGTCCAGCTTGATCCAGACCAATTAAAGAGAACTGTTTTCAGCTCGACGTGGAACTAGAACGTGGTCGTCCGGAGCGCTACACTTACAACGATTACTATCAGAGATTTGAGGAAACGTCGGAACCCAGATATTACCGCAATGATTCGTGGAGGTGTGTATAGTGCGCTGGTGAAGTTCCCAAATGGATCTACTAGTCCAAAGATATTTCAAAAATAATAACCATTATAATAATCTGTTTGAACGAGATAGAGCAATAAGAATAAGAAAAGCCGCAGTGATTTCCTTCAAAAGTCGATAATGTCATCTCGGCTGGTGACGTTTTGACGCCATTAAACCTTTAATTGTTGGGACGAAATTCGTTCTGCTGCAACTTGTGCAGGCAAACATCGATTGCGCCACATGTTATGTCGTTTTTATGTCTCATACTTGTCTACATTCATTGCTGCTTCTCAACACTATGAAATACTCGTTCGGATTTGACACGCCTTCGTGTCCTTCCTTCCTTCCCTCGATTGGGATGTTTCCTGTGTTGTTCGTCGCTGTTTATCCTTGTAATTGGTGTGAAATGCAGAACCGATCCTCCCATTCAACGCGAACCTCCCAGTCAACGCGATGTTCCCAGTCAACGTGATCGTAGAAGACAAGAGTCACCGATTCGGTATCGAAACAGAAGTCGAACTAGATCTCGAAGTCGCGATCGTGAAAGACGGCATACTAGAGGTGAGCCATTATCGTCAACTCCACGGCGTTTTCCATTCAAAATTGCGCCCGTGAGCGCTTGCAAAAACTGTCATCATATCATCACAGATCCTAAGGATTTGTTTGTGGGAACCAAATTTGACCGTATGGTGAGGTCAGATTACAGACTTATTCAATTGTTGCAAACTGAGGAATCTGATTTGATGGAGTTGGGCTGCAGTGTTCCTGTGGGGGTGCGCCCAGACGTCGCGAATTCGAAGAATCTGCGACCCTGTGGAATGGGCCATTCGGGAGAGTACGTGAAAAGGACTGTATGTATCGTTGTTTGATTCGTTAGTATTGCTGTGCCTTTCGAGATTTTGAGATGAGATATTCATTTACAGTCAAATGCTTCAGCAAGGTCGTCTTCTTTTGAGCCCGGAGAACCAGCGTAAAGCCGCCGTCCTATGCGGATGTTAATCAGTGGCAAATACCGATGTTTGCTAATGATGTTCGCTTCTGACTAACATCTGCATAAGATGGTGGATTACCGTTGGGTTTTGGCTTCCGAAAAAGGCGACCACGTCAAAACGCTTCGCTGTTAAGAATATTTCACCTAAATTCTCGAGAGAGACAGCAATAACGTTAATAACGATGTTGAGGTTACATTACAGTACTCCGTTAAAACAACATGGGTTCGAGTCGCCAAAACGACAAGCAGACGTCCTTTTCCGCGCATTCTCCAAAATGGGCATTTTTTTGGGTCGCGGATTCCTTAGGCTGCGCTCATCTTTGCGGCAGCATATACCAGTGACTATCAGTATTCGTCAGCGTCAGCTACTAGGAATAGATACCGATGTAGTGAACAGCAGCGTCCACCTGCGTCCAAAAAGTGGGGAAGTAGAAGGAGACCAGACTGCTGGTAGAGTATGGGGAAATAGGAGGGAGCAGACATTTGGATTAGGCGTCGTGAAATTGCGGCGTGTGCAATCGCACCGTGCAGCTGCTGAAGCACAGAATTATACATTTAACGTAGGGTGCATACGCCGCACTTTCACGGCACCTGTCCAGCATTCTGCTAGCCTCCTCCTTCCTCATATTCTCCTGCCCTGGACGCTGGCGTACGCTAAGTCGAAATCTATACTCTCCTAGTCGCTAGTGCTGGTACGCTCGAAACGCTGGTGTACGCGAATTATGAACGCAGCCTTAGGAACCGTTTAACTCTTTATCTTTTTCTTCGGATCGCCAAATCGACACGTAGACTTTTCATCCCGCGCATCCTCCAAAACCGATGATTTTTCGGAATCTCGCATTCCTCAAGATACTTTGATGCTTTGCGTCAGAGTTTTGAGCGACTAGGAAACTGCAGGTATCATCCAGTTTCGAGCGAACACTCACAAGGCAGACACATGCTCAAAACGTTTGGTCAATACCCATGTTTTCGTAGTCGCTCGAAACGATGCCGCACGCTCAACGCGCTGACGCCTAGTATGAACACACTCTTGCAGTCGCAGAGTATAAATGTGGCGTGACTGTCAAAACCCCAATCCTACCCCCATTCGTCCCTACTTCTAGTGAAATGGATTCCACGGTCTGATCCTTATGATAACCGACGGGACATTTACTGTTTAACTCAGCAATTCAGAAAAGCTGTTGAGAAAACGAGTTGGTCCTTACCTGAAACGATTAACATCATGATGTAGAACGTGAGATGAACCCCTTGGGTGAAAAATGCTGTGAAAGGCGGGCACATGTTTGGCCGTTGAGCCCCAAGGAAGTCCTGTCATGTCGACAAGACGGGGCGCTGAAAGTGCTCTTCACTTAAGTTTTTTAGAGCTGCAACATCGAATCACGTGTTGCTCTGGTCAGCCTTGGAACGAGAGGATTTCTTCACATTATCCTCCTTTGTGCCTCATATTTCCTTTCGTTTTCACTCAATTGCTGCCAAAAAGCGAATTGGGTTGGGGTGCTAATCTGCCTATAACGCACTCCTGCGTGCGCTTCGCAGCGCGGCTGGCATGTGTGGATAATACATCCAAGTTAATCTCGAAATGAAACCGATAATGCTCGATCATTGTTTGAGGTCTAGTCTGGCCATGCAGTATCGAGCCATGAGAAGGAGCTCTGTCAGATGGACGAGCAGAATTGTTAAATGGGCCCGATGGACTTGCACGGTCCAGAAGAGATCTGCTCTGCCAAGATGAGACACTGCATTTGTCAGTTACGTATGACAGCTGCAAATGAGGCTTCACAAATTGTCAGATCCCCGTCTGTTTCGACCGCAGATGGCAAACGCGACACTCGAAAGGTGCTCCCATGTGCAATAAGAAGGGTCGGAGGGGGATGAGGGTGCGAAGGTGATTCCATATCGAGAAGGAATTAGATTTTGTACTTCCTAAGTCACACGATCAGTGTGATGGCTCATGGCGCAATACACTTGGCGAAAATCCCCGAATGTTGCTAAGTTGTGCTGTATTCCCTTGACACAATGCGAGGAGGAGTCGAAACTCTTTGTGGAGCGTTCTGAATCATCATTTCTGTGCAGATTCACACCATTTTGCAGTTGTGATTTCAGGTCGCAGTCGATCCCGCACACGTTCGCCAGTACGGAGGCGGCGGTCTCGCTCCAGAAGCAGAGTAAGAAGGCGTTGTAGTGATGCTCATTTCCTTTACGGGTCCACACGTGCTTCGTCCAGGACTCGCTTGGCGCGTTTCCAGCATAATTAATGCTGTGGTTAATTTGCAGGAAAGGGATTCATCGCACAATGCCCCTTCAAACAAGTTGGCACTGCTAAACATGCCGAACAATATTGATAGGAATGCCGTAAGTGCGAGTGAACGCATGGATTAGGTGCAGAAACACTACATTCCTTAATATGCTTCTTGAAGATCGCATTGACACTGGCAGCTGCGGGTTATCTACCACAAGATATCCGTGTGATTACTCGTCGAGGTAAGGACTATTCGCTAGCATGGTTGTCTCTCTCTCTATTCGTTGTTAGACGTAGGATCCAAATATCTCACTGCCATTTTAGCCTCTCTTTAGAGTGATTCCCATGTAGGAATTCCTGAAGGTCTTCTCCATAGTTGCCCTTCCGAGTTCTGTTAATGTCAAAGTGATGATTCTCCTTCGAAAATGTGTTAAGTTTGGCTAGCGCACGCTGGCGCCGCGCGGTAGAAGTTTTGAGAATGAAAAGCCTTATGGGACACCAGGTCTCGCAGAAAACACTACTAAAACCTCTCATTCGTCTATTACGCGTAATGGATAGTGCACTCGCCCTGTAAGCATAAGATGCGCGTTTGAGTTCGGTCGGAATCTGACTTTCTCCCATAACTCAGCATTCTTGTTGATAATTTTCTGAGCAGGAATAGCAGTCGTCATAATAAATACATACATGCCGTTTGCACTCCCTCCCGG